TTTTTTCCGATTTTTTTTCAACCACATGTGTCTAGATTTTGACAACGAGAGGGAAACAGACTGACAGATGACAGCTGTCAGTGTGACATATTGACAAGTTAAATTATGATTTTTATGAGCAATGTATTACTGGCTGTCTAGATTCAGTTTGAAACTTAAACAAAATAATATTTTTTTAACAAATATTTGTCGTCCAAAGACTTGTACTCATTTTTGTTCCACTCTGTATACAGGCTGCGCCAGAAGTCGCGCCCCAGAGAAAATTTTCAAGTAAGGTAAGATACCAGGATACTGATGCTCTGGCATGAGTTTTTTTTTTAATAATTATTTAGTAAAGGTACAAAAATTTTGCCAATAAAAGCCACAAATAACATTGAACAGAGTTACAATTTAAGATACAGCTTCCTTGTTTCCTCTTTTATAGCAAAAAAACTTGAAAAATTATTTTTCCAACAGAAATAAATAGTCATAACTTCGAAATTTTTATAGATAATTTTTTTTAACATTTTTTCCATGTTCCTGGTATCTTACCTTACATGGCATTTTTCTCTGGGGCGCGAGTTCTGACGCAACCTGTATAACAATTAAGCTAGTTGTTACAATAAAGGATCAGCAGGAAGTAAGAGTTCGTTTACTTCCTTTGTGAAACAAAGCAAGCGAAAAAATTGTGTGTAGTTTTTGTATTAATGCAAGTGTGAGATGTAGTTTTGCATAAAAACATTGTTTGACATTTTTACATACAAGGTGTGCCAGAACTCGCGCCCCAGAGAAAAATGTCATGTATACCAGGAACATGAAAAAAATGTTAAAAAAATTCTGTCTATAAAAATTTCGAAGTTATGAGGGTTTAAAGTTTGCACTTTGACTCTATTTATTTCTGTTGGAAAAATAATTTTCCAAGTTTTTTTGCTATAGGCTATTAAAAGAGAAAACAAGGAAGCTGTATCCTAAATTGTGACTTTTATTGGCAAAATTTTTCTCCCTTTGCTAAATAATTGTAAAAAATGTCAAATGTCAAAAAATAAATGTCAAAATTTTTTGACAGATAGAATTTTTTAAACATTTTTTTCATGTTCCTAGTATCTTATCTTACTTGAAATTTTTTCTGGGGCGCAAGTTCTGGTGCAGCCTGTATAGCATGAAATCAAATGATCAAGGTTGCAGGTTGTGCAACTTTAAAGCAAAAAAAGTTTGTCTCTTGGGAAAATAATACAAAACCAAGCAGTAATTAGTAGTAGAGTCGTGTTTGATTAAATTACATAACTACGTTGCCATTCAGTCAATTTAATCCTTGAAAATGACCCACTGAGCTACTGGTAGACTGAAAAAAACTAGTTTCACGTCAAAAGTGTGATTTACCATTAAATAATGTGCTGAAATATAAAATTATCCCAAGAATACAATTTTCAGTTTTAAATCCCTATAGAAGTATAATAAAAGGAGAAATCGTGTCAAATTAACACCTAACAAGACTATAAACAACAATTATCTTTACTTGTAATTACAAATTGCCACTATCTGATCATTTTCCTTTGAAACCAATTTTCATTTCAATAAATTAACTCAATTTAGAACGTCGTAAACTGTGTTCACCTTATCATAAAAAAAAACTCAAAATATATTAATTTGTTGCAAGACATAAATGTCTCTTATCATGCGAAACGGAGCCGCTAATCAGACCCAGACTGTTAAGCATGTTTACCCTTTTTAATCCGTCCAAGGTGTCACCAATAACTCACCCTTTAGACATCAGCGATAAATCTCACCGACAAAACGATTTACTTTTACTAATAAGGGTTGGTTTTGTTTAGTCGCGGTTTGTATGCAGTGAGGGTGCTTTTTAAATTTTAATTAAATATATCAAATAGTGGGATCAGGAGCACTGTTGTGGCCCTTGTTTCTTGACACGAAATTTCCTCGCCCCTTGGTGCCTAAACTAAATATGATTTTTTTTCAAAATCAAATTTTTGACAATTTTTTTAGTTGGCTTTCGGTAATTGAAGCTGACTCAACAAGAAATATTGTCATTTTTTGCAATATTTTTTGATTTAAATTAATCAGAATTAAAATACATATTTTTTTTAAATATTTTATACGCAAATGTCTCAAAAATGACCACTTTTATGACTAAATGTCACAAATAAAAGTTTTACCTTTCAGTCATGGAGTAAAAATTCTATTTTTGCGCTTAAGGGTTTTTACTTTTACCATGACATTAACTAATGTTGTTAGTTTCGTGTCTTTTTCGCTGTTTCAACAATTTCTGGAGAGGTATATTGTAAATCATCAGCATTCGCCATTTTGCACTACTAACTGCCCTAGTTGAATTAATAAACACTAGAAAATCTCAACACAAATTGCGATACTGATGCGTGATATTTGTTTCTAAGCGTTGTTATATTTTCATTACTTGCAAAACGTCCAGATTAATTTGTTCATTTACTTGCTAATTAAGTGTTGCTCTTTACTCTTTGCGGATAAAATAGTATGTTATTCGGAGTAAAAGTGAGTTTATGTGGCTTAGTTGAATTATTTGCCTCACTACGTTCGGCAAAATAAACGTTCAGTTTCGCCTAATAACATAATATACTATTATTATTATTATTATTTAATTTATTATTTATTATGTTTTACCACCGATTTTTACAGATTTTTGTTAAAATTAAGTCAAGAATGATTTTGCAAAGATGTCAAACTTCCAACTTTTCAGTATTTTTATTCTTTTAGACTTTTTTTTTAAACTCTATATTATTTTTTTTGTCTTGGTCATTATTGTATTGTTTTTTGTCGTTTTTTATTATTTTTGTAGCATGTATTATTAATTAATAAAAATTTTGAGAACAGTAGAGAGAATAAAAAAGCTGCGTTTTTAATGGTACAGTTGGAGACAAAATACGTCGTCAATGTCAATTGAGTGACATTAAATTGTAAAGCATGCTTTAGGACTGTTAACCTTATTTTTAGCTACCGTCACTCATAGTTGACAAGTTGAATGTACAGTTGCGGAATTAAAATTTCGGGCAGTATTGTCATTTTCATAATTTTAAGTCTAAAACAGCCTTTACATAAATAATCTCATTTATTCACTTTCAAAAATAGTGATTTGTGGCATAATATCGGGTAGGCAGCAGATCAAAGCGATGATTTAATTACACTTAGTTCAATTAATAAATTTCCTAAGACAGACAAATTGTTTAATTAACAATTTTAACAACAAAAAAAAAGTTTAATTGTCAAATGTCAGTCATGAAAAGGTAGTTTACAGTGAACTTTTTAAAATGCCCGAAATTTTAATTCCGCAACTGTACATATTTTTGATATGAAAATATATAATAGCTGTCATTAATTTGAAATTGTCATTCATTTTAACGTTGAAGCTTGAATTACATTGAAGTACCAGAAAGGTATTTTGTCTCCAACTGTACATGTTTACGAAGATACCTATAATAATAATTAATTCGCCTTATCGAGGTTCCACTGTATTTGAAAAAGGTAGCTTGTTGGCAACCTAATAGGGTTTTAATTTGCCTCAAAAATTACACGTTTTTGAGAGTAAGTTTCCGCTCTTGTTTTAATACCTAGCAATTTTATCCCTGGTCAAAGACCCTTTTTTCTGATAAAAAAATTAGTTTTATTCATCACGCCATTTCAAGAGTGAGAATTGCCAGTAACTTAGTCAAGACTTGGTCACTTATTTTCCTTCAATTATCTTATTAGTGCAAGTGGGCGAAGTTGTCGCATGACCCTTTGACCCCCTTTAAATTTGTTTTCGTTGTTGCCCTTTGACTTGTTGTTTTGTGGTATCGTAAAGGCGTATTCCCCTACCAGTGTCGTGCGTTGTGGACGTCGTGTCGCAGTCACGCGTACGATGTCGAGTAGAACAATGGTTGTTTAGTAATTTTGCACAAAAATGACAGGTTGAGGATTAATTTCGATGGTCGTTGCAAACAATGCACAAGGTGAGCCCACATTTGAATTGCATTTGAATTTGTTATCGGCTATTTCTATTGTCTTTGCAGATTTTTTTACTTCTTTTTCCAGTGGAAATTAACCACATTTTTAAAAATTTTATTTTTCACTGTTTGCAACACTACAGCCGGGATTTACTGCAAAAGCCATTCAAATTGTAGATTTTTATTGTCTTAGTTTGGCAACCTTGACTCTCAAACTCAAATGTCAAACTTTTATGGGCAATTGTCATTCAGTTGCGACGGACGACTGCTGGCTTAGCCGTCACCTGGAATATCCCGATATAATAATATTTCAGTGTTGCCAATAGTTTTTTGTCTCTCATTTTGCGTTAATTTGAGTAATTTCCTGTGGAAGTGGAAGTTCAGTGTCGTTACTTTGACGTAGTTTCCTACAACATCAACGTCATTAATAATTTCGCTTAATTTCCCCTTTCCATGACCTAGGTTGTAATAAAAATTCATAATTGAATAAATAACGACTCGATCGTTTATTAAAAATGGTCAGTGTTGAATTCCGTTTATGTTATTTCAATGTTTATCCGACTGGTAGTCGTGACCTTAACTTTTCGAAAGTGTCTGGTGTTTTTTATTTTTAGAATTTGCATAACTGCTTGAGGCGATTTGGTGGAGGAGCCGGGCGAATGTCGTATCAACAAGAAATTCCTCAATAGGATTTAGGGAAATTCGTGAATAGGTTGCCATAAATTTGGTTAGGTTGGTTTGTAGTGACAAACAAAAGATATCGTAACTAGTGTCAAAAATTTAAGTTAAGTCACCTGTCAGTTTGTATAGATAATTTAATTGATAGTTGACAGAGTAGTTGACAGAAAACGTCAACCGTCAACAACAAGGGTTAACCAACTCTATGCATTCAAAATTACTTCTGAAAATTCTAGTTCCAAACAACATGAAAAACGTACTTTTCCTTCAAATCGTAGGTGGTGATTTCTTGTTGACAAATCTGTAGTGTAACACTAATTATCAATTTGATAGTCACTGTTGCCAACTTAAAAGTGTTTTTTGTTTCAGGTGAATCAAAATGTATGTGACGCAACTTGGACCGATTGTTTTTGTCTTTTTCTGGTGCTTTTGCTTGTCTTATGCCTTGTCTGAAGACTCGTGGAAATGTCTCAATTACACAAGTAAGTATTGTGGTGCGTTGATAAACCACTATTGCCAACTTAAATTTTCCCCCAGAGACATTTCCCAAAACGCATGTTTATTACTTGGCCCAACACACTAACATAATCATTCAAACCTCCGAACGCACCCTCCATAAACTGAGCACTGAGATCCTCAAGATCTACCTGGAGGAGGTTTCCGGTTTCGCAAAAGTTGAAATCCTCGTCGACGACGACAACTTTGAGGTGGAGAACGCCGTGAAGAAGCTCTCCTCACGCTACCTCAACGTCACCGAATTGTTTCCTCCAGCTATGATCGACTTGGAGGTGTGGATACCGCCGGGTTACGACCTCCTCAATTCCGAAGACACCCACTTGGTGAAAGACCTGGGGGATGTGGGTCCTTTGGGGCGCTTTGGGTGGTTCATCCCCGGGCAACTTGATGGGCCAGTTGCTCGGTATTACGGTAAATCGGACACCAAGTTTCGGGAGGTGCATTGGTCCTTCCTCAGGGATGAAAAAACCGTTAGCCTTCTTGATATAAACGACCAAATGTCTGTAATTTACAGTAATGCGAAAATGAACGATACGACATTCGTTTGTTCGGAGAAGTTTTGCAAAAAGGGGGTTTACACACCGAAGCATTGCGAGAACACCCGATGCGCCCTCCTCCTCACCTCCAAACCCTCCACGACGAAGTTCCTCATCGACCACATCAACGAACTCAAATTGTACGTCCGAGTGGTGTGGTTGGGGAAAAACCTGAAACGTACAGTGGAGACTTTGACCAAATTGTATGCAGGTACCCCAAGGAGTATCCTCATCATGTACTACACCCCCAGTGATGTGATTTTGAGGGAGAAGAAATTTATCAGTGTGATTTTCCCCCAGTGTGATTATTTGAACTTGAACCGTTCCCTGGGGTGCAAATACGAGCTCCAGAGGATTGTGAAAATGTCCTGGAACAAAGTCGAGGAGTTGGGGTTGTTGCGTCCAGTCCGCGATTTTAAATTCAGTGAGCAGGATTACGACGACCTTTTGACCCTCTACGAGGGGGCTAAAAACCAGTCGAATCTCCGACAAATCGCCTGCGAGTGGCTCAAAAACCACGAATCGTGGATTATCGACCACGGGAAAATCGACATCTACATTGGGGGCATTTTCCCCCTCAACGAGTCCACCTACAATGGCAGGGGGATCGTCCATGGGGCCAAACTAGCCCAAGACATCATCAACGCAGATCCGGGGATTTTACCCAACTACAACCTGAAACTTCTAGTGGAGAACGGCAGATGTCGCCCTGATAGTGTGACGAAAATTTTCATCCAATACGTCACAGAGTACCACTATAACAGGCTGTTGGGGGTGCTGGGGCCCGCGTGCTCCGACACTGTGGAGCCCGTCACACACGTCTCCAAACATTACCGCACTTTGGTGGTCTCCTACAGTGCCGAGGGGACGAGTTTCTCCGATCGGAACAAATATCCGTATTTTTTTCGCACGATTGGGGAGAATAAAGACTACCAATATGTTTATTTGCATTTGTTCAAAAAGTTGGGCTGGAAGAGGGTCGCCGCGTTGACGGAAGATGGGCAAAAGTACACGGAGTATATTTCGCACATGCAGGAGACTCTGGGGGAGAACGATATCGCCTTTATTGCCAATACCAAGTTCCCGAGGGACAGGGACCCCTACCAAATGGCTAGAGTAAGTAGCTTGTCATATTACTCTACATCGAAGTAGTCGTTGAAAGAATGCAAAACAATCCTAACCTCAATCTCCCTTAAAAATTATTTTGTTACATAAATATGTACCCCAGGTAGCAAAAAATAATTAAAATTAACAACGTAATTAACATAGGGTAGCAAACATAAAAAAATGACATTATTAATGTGATAAAATTTGTTCTGAATGACATTAATGACAAATTTTGTTAAATTAAAGACTTGTTTGCCACCGAAATTAACTCTAAGAGAAAAATGGAATTCAATTAATGTTTCCTCATATTTTCACATTACACTTTTGTATTTTTCTGTTTACTATTTTCTTGTTTCATTTAGTCTTCCTGTTTAGTTATATTAAATTACTTTTTTTGACTACTTTTATCCATTTTTGATACTTTTACATAATTTTCATATTTATGTCCTACATTCTTCTAATTTTAAGTCGTTTTTCCATATTATCTTGTGCTTTTTTTTACTCGTTTTTAACATCCTTGTTTCCAATTATTTTTTGTAAATTCTACCTTAAATGCTTTGTTTTTTTTAAACTTTCTTTCAAATCATTTTTGTCATCAAATTGTTCTGCCTTCGCAAATTATCTTATTCTGATATTTTTTGTTTTTGGTTTTAAATTAACTAATGACAAGCTAAAACACAGTATTTAACAAAATGAATACCTACTATGCTGTATTAATTTTGCAAAAAAAAACTTTTAAATTATCAGAAAATTTTATGATGTTTTAATGTTTCTGTTTTTTATTACAAAGCGATGTATGCTACCATTTTTGGTTGAGGCACATTGACGCAAAATGTCACCAACTGTCAAAAGTGTCAGATTGATTGAAATGCAACGCACTCTTGGTTAAGGTTTTTTATTAAACTTAAAATTTATGCACTTTTAGGCCTGTTTTTCTCTATAAAACTCTACTGAAGAATTATGAATGAATTATTGTTTTTCACTTTTACTCAATCTCTACCTTTCGCCGTTTTCTACTTTTAGCGCGTCAAAATTTAGCATCAATCTCCAAGAATAAACAATTGCTATGGCACGACAAAGATGGTTAAATTAACGATTTACACTGGTGTGAGAGAGATGGAGCTATCACGTTTTAGTAACTAGATAAATAATGCATTTAGACTTCTACAACCTACTTGATGCACATTAATATAAAAAAGAGTAAAAATAGGAGTATAAACAACAATTTAGAATGATTCCAGTGTTTAAATTAAGCAAAATTTTATTGAAGTAGCTTAAATTGCTGTTTCCTGAAAAAACTATTACATATTTTGTTGAAATATTTTGATTTAGGTTGATTTCCGGCTTAAAATTGAGCCAAATCAATTGGAAATAGCACAAATTGCTTTATTTTGGCCTAAAATTGTATTTTAAGCAATTATTTTTATAAAATCTAATCGAGCAAAATTGGGTTGAAAATAGCTCGGATTGCTTTATTTTTGCTGAACACTGTTATTTAAGCGTCTATTTTGTTAAAATACATTGACTTAAAATTGAGCGAAATCGATTAGAAATTGATTAAATTGTATTATAGTGGCCGAAAAAAGCTAAATAAGTAATTATTTTGATAAAATACATGGATTTGTGGTGTTCTCTTACTTAAAATCTAGGCAAAACCATTGGAAATTAATCAAATCGTATGTTTATGTAACAAAGGAATAAACAACTATGTAGGTGATTTCATTTAAGAGATGTTTCTTCCAAAGATGCTTACAAAACAGACTAAATAATAATATCATAAGAAAATGATAAATTTGTCAAATCGTCAAATAATAATTCGCCAAAATATTCAGTTCAAAAATCTGTCTTCATTCAATTTCAGTTTATTTTAAAAGTAAAAATCTATATATTATTTATTTTGTTCCGGAGGAAATAGAAAGGAAAAAGTAAACAATTCATTATTTTGCCGTTAGGCGATTGTACTTAATTCGCGACTTGTTTGAATATTTATTTCTTCAGAGTGGAGAACCTTGGGTTAGCGACACGTTTTGCGTTTATTTTCCTCAAACAAGTGGCAAAAAGTTGAAAATTAAGTCTTGTATTTATGTTTTTTTCTGTCTATAAAAATGCGTTTTATTTGAATTCTTTCCAGTTTTTTTGGTGATTTGTAATTTGTTTCTTTGTCGGAATTGCAAGGTTTTGTTTATGTCAGTTGTTTATTATCAGAAATTATTCCTGCATTTTTTTACGTTCTGTTATTTTTGGAAAAAAAAACACAAAAATTGTCGAAATTTTATTAAGTTGTTTGGGGAAAGCAATTTTTTTTATTTTTAAATGTTATTTTAAAGAATATAAAAACGTAAAATCGACGATATTTATAAATGTATCTATTTTTTCGGTTTGTTTCGTTTTAAAGGAGAAATTTAATTTTAAGAAAATTAGTTGAATAAATGTAAAAATTACAAAATCAGACTGAAAGTATGCTAGGTATTTGAGCTTAAGTTGGATTGTTTTTGAGAGAGAATTGTTGAAATAACGTAAAAAGTTGCAAAAACAGACTATAGATATGCTTATGTGGTTCCAAAAGTTGCAGTTTTTTCCAAAAATATTGCTTGTTTTAATTATACCTTTTCGGCTGTTTATTTCGATTTCAGGAAAAATTTAATCTAATTGAGAAAATAGCAAGATCAAGTTTTAAATGTGGTATTTCGGTTTGTTTCATTGATTTATATTTTTTGTTTCAATATTGAAACATTGTCATTTTTTTATTTTTGAAGATTTTAAGAAAACTTATTAACTTTTATGGGTAGAACTCATACTATCTGATTTGCAAATTGTCTTTATTTCCAAAATTAATGCTAAAAATCGCAATATAGACATCAAAAAAAATATTTTTTTGGCTTGATCTAATTTCAGTTAAAATTGTTCTAATTTTGAGACTTTTTTTAATAACCAAAAAAATCCCTAAAGACTTGCTAAAAACGAAAATTGCAAAATTAAACATAAAAGGCGTTATTTTCTATAAATTTAAAAAGTTTTTCTTGAGAAACTTGCACAATTTAGAATACTTTGCCTACACAAAACAAAATGTGCGAAATATTTTTTTCAGCGAATTTTGAAACTTTTTACCGATACAATTACTAAATTCGGATTTTTTCTTCAAAAATTATACAGAAATACACTGAAATAGATTTAGAACGCATTATTTCCGCTTTTTTTGGTGGATTTAGAGCCTTTTCATTGAAAAACCTACTGAATTAAAAAAAAATCATCAAAACAAGACAGGAAATTGCAAAATTTTTGTTTCAAAGAATTTAGATTTCGAGATATTTCATCTAACAGAATAAAAAAATTAAGCTGAAAATGCATAATTTTCTATGAATTTAGAATTTGATAAGAAACTCACAAAAACAAGGTAAAAAAGCAGAAAATTAGATCTTCAAATACATTATTTTCGTCTGTTTTTATAAATTTGGAGCGTTTTTCATCGAGACACTTGCTGAATTCAAAAAACTAGATAGAAATTTGGTCTAAAACTCATTATTTTCTATAACTTTAGAAGAGTTTTTCATGAGAAAGTTGCACGATTCACAATATTTTGCCTTAGAAAAACAGAAATTTGCGAACCTATTTTTGGTTGTTTCAACGAAATTTTTTTATCGAGTAACTAATTCGATTTTTTTTAACACAAATCAGAAAATGTCTTAGATCTGAAACGCATTATTTTCGTTTATTTTGATGGATTTGACCCTTTTTCTGTAAGATTTCGTAAAATATTACTAAAACTGAAAATTGCAAAATTTCTTCTGAAATGCTTTTTGTTTCACTTATTTCTTCGAGAAACATATATAAATTTACCAAAAAAGTTAAAAAAGATCATCCAAATGCCAAAAAATAACATTTTTTCCGTGTTCCTGCTACCTTCTTGTCTTACTTGAAATTTTTCTCAGAGGCGCCAGTTCTGAGACACCCTGTATACATTGCAAAAACACGCTCTAAATGAGTTATTTCGGGTTGTTTCGTTTACTTTGAATTATTTTTAAAAAGCATTGTCTTTTAAATATCATGTTGAGCAATTTTCGCTCAGTTGGTTCAAAAGTATCACGATTTGCAGTATTTAGAAGATTTGAAACACAAAAACGCCCGCATCATAATCCTGGACGTGATCGACCCCATTGCCCGAACCGTAATGTGCGAAGCGTACCAAATGAAGATGACCTCAACTGACGGCTACGTTTGGTTCCTTCCAACTTGGCTCAACGAGACTTGGTACGACACCGACTACTTCAACCGCTTCAAAAGCGAATCGGTGAATTGCACCACCAGCGAGATGATCCAAGCCGCCACTGGGTACTTCTCGATGGCGCACTCCTTCTACGAGCCAAATGACACCCAAGTCCAGGGGAACCTCACCGTGGCCCAATGGATGGCCCTCTACGGAACCAAGGTCCCTTTATCGAACTACGCGGGCTACGCCTACGACGCCATGTGGACCTATGCCCTTGCTTTGGACAACCTCGCCAAGGAGTACCCCGCGGCGGTCTCCGACTTGCATTCGGAAACAACAGCAAAGTGAGCAGAAAAATTGATTCAATTTATTTTATTCACAATCACTAATGTAATATGCCGATTACTAACCTTTTTAAGGTTGGGAAACATGTCATTATTTCTCATGAAGAGTAATAAATGTTACTCCTCTTGGGTGGTAATATGCAGGATTGCCAACGTTAAAATTACGAAAATACCGGAAATTTTTTCTTTTAAATTGTCAAGTTACGCATAATATTTCACTAAATTAGTATTCAATTGCTTTTGTAGCAGTTTCTCTTAATTCTGGGGGAGTACATTGCTCCATTTCGACGACTTTAAATCGGATTTACACATTATTTCAATATTTTCTTTGACATTTCTGAAATGTCAAAAATCAAACGTCATTTGGATGGCCTACCACGTTTGGACCTTAACTTTGTTAGAATTGTATTTTACTTAAATTTTTGACTGAAAATAATGTGATTGTGAATAAAATAGCATACAAACCTCGGTGGTAATGGCACTACCCCTTGTGCTTTATCCGTATACATAAGCACTCGGGGTAATGCCATATTTACCACCTCGCTTGTAATGTACTATTTCACTACTAGCTGTATGTATTAGAGGTGGGCAAATGCCGATGTTGAAGATATAAATATTTCTAGAATATTTTTATTGAAAACTATTACCATCACAAGTACTAACGGAAGTATTTCGAGATGAAATTAATGCAAAATCACATAAAAAACCTAAATGTTCTCATTAAAAACATCAGAATAACCCCAACTCTAATGCTTCTGTCAATGTCAAAACTGTCAAAACAACAAATGAGTTTATTTTTTGTTAAAATACTATCGGTAGTGAGGCAAATTTTAACACTTTTTCCCTTTTCTTTTAGTTTCTTTGTTATTTTAACAAATATTTCACATTATGTAGTGACCTGACCTGACCTGTAGTTGCAGAAATACAAAAAATGACATAACCTCATTTATGATAAATTAAGTTAATAACCCAGACGGTAATTAATTACTTTTTAAAAAACAATTGACAATGTCAAAATTCCCTCAGAGACCAGAATGTACCTCCCTAAAACCTTTCTTTTTGGAACATCTGTATATTAAAATCTCCCTAGATTAGGTTTGAGGTTATGTTAGTAATTTTTAAAAAATGTCAGGAAAGTTTCAAGCGTAAGAATTTTTTTCCAAATGACAAGAAATAAAGACGATGAGGTAAGGACACCGAAAAATGCAACTTCTAAACTGGAAAAATTTATTTAATGGATAATATAAAATTTTACTCATTTTCAAAATTTTCAGATCACCAGTCGTTTTTCCATTCTACGGAAAGTTGAATCATTATTGAAGGAATATAATAAAATACTGGATCAGTTTTGCAATTTATTGGATTCCGTTCTTTTTTAGGGGTTTTTATACAACCAAAATTGTCAAATTCAAGAAGAATTTTTCTCTGTCTGCATACAGGGTGCGCCAGAACTTGCGCCCCAGAGAAAAATTTCAAGTAAGATAAGATACCACGAACATGGTGGAAAAAATGTTTAAAAAATTCTATCTGTAAAAAAAATTTGACATTTGTTTTTTGACATTTGACATTTTTTGTCTATTTAATGATACTGATGTTTTTGTATATGTTTTTTTTACAATTATTTAGTAAAGGTACAAAAATTTTGCTTATAAAAGTCATAAATAACATTGAACTGAGTTACAATTTAGGATACAGCTTCCTTCCTCTTCTAATAATCTGTAGCAAAAAAACTTGGAAAATTATTTTTACAACACAAAATAGAGTTAAAGTGCAAAATTTCAACTCTCATAACTTCGAAATTTTTATAGATAAATTTTTTTCCATGTTCCTGATATCTTACCTTATATGGCATTTTTCTCTGGGGCGCGAGTTTTGGCGCACCTATATATTCACAAAATCTAATCATAGTTATTTTTCTTGTTATGTTAGAGTCCAGAACCTTGCTTTCGGAATCTCATTTTTGTAAACGATTCTTCTTGAGATAAAACCCAATTTTATAACAATTTATTTAAACAATTAAATTCAATGCAGCAAATTTAAATCCACTTTTACCATTTTTTGTACTTTTTATTTTAAATTTAAAAGTAATTGGGTCTTCATAACAAAACGGCTGACATGCAATTGACATTTTACGTTGCCAACGTAATAACATCAAATAACTAGTGGCTGATACCAATATGACAACACTTTGACAATTGTTTTTAATAAAAGTGGATTAACAAAAATAGTAGTTGTGAATTACGACATGTTATGTGTGAGGCAACATGTCCATTAAGTAGGGTTATATTTTTCAGCGTTGTATTTCTGTGTATAACTATACTCCTTTTCATATTAATGTGCATCGAAGTAGTCGTTGAAAGGGATCATTTTAAGGTGGCAACCATGCATAAATTCACTCAATCCTAACCTCAAACAAGTTTCTCGGTTTTTTTCAGATAAGTGTGTACTCCAGGTAGCAAAAAAACAATTAAAATTAAAAACGTAATTAACATAGGGTTGCAAACATGAAGATTTATGTCATTATTGACGTGATTAAATTTGTTCTGAATGACATTAATGACACTTTTTGTGTGAATTGGCCTTTAAATTAAAGATGCATTTAGACTTCTACAACCTACTTGATGCACATTAATATAAAAAAGAGTATAATAAATATGCTAGTAGTGAAAAAAATGTTACATAAAACACGGGCATAAAAAATCTCTTCTCTACCTTCTCTACTATTCTAACTTGTCACTTTCTAGTAAATTGGTACAACTGATTCAGGAGACTGACTTTATGGGGGTTTCCGGGCGTATTAAGTTCCGTGGGGGCCCTTCTCGCTTCTCCCCCATCAATTTAATGGAATGGTATGGGAACAAGTCGCACATTGTGGGTCACTTCAACCCCAATGTCTCCGACGACAAACCGGAGATTCTTGGAGGTGTCCTCGACCTTAAAACTGAAGCTTTACGTTGGTTCACCCCCAATAAGCAACGTCCGGATGATGGCACTTTGGTGCCCCCAAAATGCGCCCTCCAAAGCCTCGCCAACGCCTTGAATGTCAACTGCGAAATGGCCATCGTCATCCTCAATATTATCCTAATCTGTGTCCTCCTCCTGGGGGTCTTCGCCGCGGTGTTTTTCATGAAACGGCGCTACGAAAAGAAGGTGAAATACACGGAACAGTACATGAGACACTTCGGGATCGATTTGAGACTAAATCCGTCGCAAATCACCGATTTGGACAAGTGGGAGATTCCCCGGAATTCGGTTGTGATCAACCGGAAGTTGGGCGAGGGGGCTTTCGGGACGGTCTACGGGGGCGAGGCCAACTTCCCGGATAAAGGCTGGGTGGCGGTGGCTGTGAAAACGCTCAAAATCGGCTCAAGTACCGAGGAGAAGCTCGATTTCTTGTCCGAAGCCGAGGTGATGAAACGTTTCGACCACAAAAACATCATCAAACTCCTGGGGGTGTGCACCAAAGAGGAGCCCATTTACACCATCATGGAGTTTATGCTTTATGGCGATTTGAAGACGTTTCTCCTCGCGAGGAGACATCTAGTCAACGATAAGAGCATCGAAGAGTCCGATGAAATCTCGAGTAAGAAGTTGACAATGATGGCCTTGGATGTGGCCAGAGGGTTGAGTTATTTAGCACAGTTGAAGTATGTGCATCGAGATGTCGCTTCGCGCAATTGTCTGATTAATGCTCAAAGGATTGTCAAGTTGGCCGATTTTGGGATGACTAGGCCGATGTTTGAGAATGATTATTACAAGTTTACGAGGAAGGGGATGTTGCCGGTGAGGTGGATGTCGCCGGAGAGTCTCGCATTGGGGGTGTTTACCCCCTCGAGTGACGTGTGGAGTTATGGAGTGCTCCTGTATGAGATTATCACGTTTGGGAGTTTCCCCTATCAGGGGATGACCAACAGTGAGGTGTTGGACTATGTCAAGAATGGACACACTGTTACGATTCCCCAAGGAGTTAAGACGCAACTGTGAGTAGTTTTTCTTTTGTTATTCTCATTTATTATTTTTTTTCTTCATCTTCTAATTTTCTTGCCTTTGTTGTTACTATGAGTCGTTTGCTACGAATTTTGTGGAGGTAATTGTAAAATTTGTTTGTTTTTTGAAGTATTTTATGAGGAAAAACTTACAAAAATTAAGAGATTTTGTCAAAACTAGGTGAAAAGTGCAAAATTAGATCTTTGAATGCATCATTTTTGTCTGTTTTTTAAAAAAAAAAATTGCAGTAGATTGCGACATTTGGTCCAAAAACTCATTATTTTCTATGAATTTAAAAATTTTTCATGYGAAATTTGCATAATTGCCTAAACAAAATAGAAATTTGCGAAATTGTTTTTGGTTATTTCAGCAAATTTGGATTTTTTTATTATTAAATTAAATATAAAATGCGTTATTTTCTATGAATTTAAAATGTTTTTCGTAAGAAAGTTGCACAGAATACCTACTTTGCCTACACAAAACAGAAATTTGCGAAATAATTTTTGTTTTTTTTTCCAGCGAATTTAGAAAATTTTTGACGATAAAAAAATTGTTTAATTTATTTTAATCTTCTAATTTTCTTGCCTTTTTTGTTTCTATGTGTCGTTTGCTACGAATTTTGTGGAGAAAATTGTAAAATTTGTTTGTTTTTTGAAGTATTTTATAAGAAAAAACTTACAAAAATTAAGAGATTTTGTCAAAACTAGGTGAAAAGTACAAAATTAGATCTTTGAATGCATCATTTTTGTCTGTTTTTTTAAAAAAAAAATTGCAGTAGATTGCGACATTTGGTCCAAAAACTCATTATTTTCTATGAATTTAAAAATTTTTCATGAGAAATTTGCATAATTGCATAAATAAAATAGAAATTTGCGAAATTGTTTTTGGTTATTTCAGCAGATTAGGATTTTTTTATTATTAAATTAAATATGCGTTATTTTCTCTGAATTTAAAATGTTTTTCGTAAGAAAGTTGCACAGAATACCTACTTTGCCTACACAAAACAGAAATTTGCGAAATAATTTTTGTTTATTTTTCCAGCCAATTTTGAAAATTTTTGACGATTAAAAAAATGGTATAATTTAATTTAATCTTCTAATTTTCTTGCCTTTTTTGTTTCTATCAGTCGTTTTCTACGAATTTTATGGAGGTAATTGTAAAATTTGTTTGTTTTTTGAAGTATTTTATAAGGAAAAACTTACAAAAATTAAGAGATTTTGTCAAAACTAGGTGAAAAGTGCAAAATTAGATCTTTGAATGCATCATTTTCGTCTGTTTTTTTTTTAATTTTTTTTGCAGTAAATTGCGACATTTGGTCTAAAAACTCATTATTTTCTATGAATTTAAACATTTTTCATGAGAAATTTGCTGCATAATTGCATAAACAAAATAGAAATTTGCGAAATTGTTTTTGGTTATTAGCAAATTAGAATTTTTTTATTATTAAATTAAATATCAAATGCGTTATTTTCTATGAATTCAAAATATTTTTTGTAAGAAAGTTGCACAGTTCAGAATGCCTATTTTGCCTACACAAAACAGAAATTTGCGAAATAATTTTTGTTTTTTCGTCTGTTTTTTTAATTTTTTTTGCAGTAAATTGCGACATTTGGTCCAAAAACTCATTATTTTCTATGAATTTAAAAATTTTTCATG